TTTACTTTTATATGTATTTAAGGTGTCTGCTGCTGTTCTTCTTCTTCTGACACACCACATATTTGGCGAGCTAGCCAGGAAGAAGGTGTCTTCGAGCAGCATTTCCATCTTTCCCCCAAGAAGAACCTAGAAAAATAACAACACCAACTGAACTGCAGTGTCACCATGGAATTTGAGGCGCTTCTGGACAGAACCAGCTCAACTCTGACCAAACTAAGCTGGGACCAGGTAGTAAAAGTCTGCATACACCTTGACTGTATCGAGGAAGAGGACGAGACCATAAACAATAGAAGTCGACGAGCACTGATCAAGTTAGTAGAGAAGAAACTGGATGCTAATGAACAGGATGGGGACGTTGAAGAAGCATGTCAGATGATGCAAGATCTTTTGGACTTCATGGGAACAATGGTTGAGAGTGATGGGGAGGGGACAGAGCAGGAACTTCTCCGTTTATTGAAGATAAAGGGAAAATACTCAGAGCGGCAGAGGTCCCAAGAACTGTCACGTCAAGGAACCAGTGTATGTGTGCATCAATAACTTTATCATGTTTGTGTTCTTAGGTTTGATTTTTATTTCAGTGGCACTTCCCCGTTTTTTAATAAACTTGTTTATTTGTTTTGGAACTTTGTCTACGAGTCGTGCGTTTGGGTTCAGGGCCATTGTCCGGTCGCGACATAAACCAAATACATACATACATACATATTTACATGCAATCATGAACTAAACTAAGTAGAAAATCTCACTAAATCTATGAACATCATTTTGTTGAAGAATAGTTGGTTTCCTGTGCATTTCAATGTCACAACTACAAACAACAAATCAAATGAAACCAGTGGAAGATGTTATTTGAGCACCCACCCCCCCCACACACACACAAACACGCTCATAAGTGAAAGTGAAACTTAAGTAGAAGCAGAGTACCTCGACAGCAGAAAGAACTGTCGTCTGTATTAACTTTTACTCTTTACTGACTTTTCTTCTACAAACATGGACAATAAGTTAAAGTTTCTTCTCTGAGTGATTATTATTTGTTAACAATGCTCTCTGTCCACCACCTTACAACACGCACAAGAACACATTTTATTTGTGTGTCCATAATGGACCGTTGTTGTCCCTCGTGCTCATGTCGCAGTGTACTTGTGCATTAGTGAGACAGCAGGGGGCGCTACCAACAAAACAACGCTGTCTGGTGCCTTCAAGGATTAAACAGGTCTGAGAAGCAGTTACATCCTGTTGGATACTCTATCAGGAATCAGGAAACATTTATTTGCCAAAATATGTCAAACATACAAGGAATTTGTCTTGGCGGTTAGTGCGCGACAGTAGACAGACAAGACAACAGTGCACAAGTAATGGGTTGGGTAATGGGTAATGGGCAATGGGTTAGCTAGTTTACATCAGAGTTACTCACATGTGTTTGTTAGTGTGTATTTAGCTAAACGATGTTTAATTCAGAGTCCCTTTTTCTTTTCTAGTGTGGAACACATGGAGGATCGTCATCCTGGGAAAAGCAGTAGTTGGAAAGAGCAGCCTCACCAACAACATATTTGGAGAAGCCAAATTCAAAATAAACAGTTTTGATTCCACTGCAGCGGAAACAAAATCCGTCAGTGGGAGAAGCATCACTCTCATCAACACTCGTGGCGTCTTTGACCCGGGCAGATCTGAGTAGAAGGGTCCTGAGAGGAGGAGGTGCACCACAGAGTGCGCTCCTGGGCCCCATGCTTTTCTCATTGTGCTGAAAGTGGAGAAATTCACAGAGCAGGAGACGGCCGTCATCACAGAAATATGTGAGGATTTCCCTGAAAATACTCTAAAATATGCCGTGATCGTCTTCACTCATGGTGACCAGCTCCAGGAGGGAGTGACCATGGAGGAGCATGTGGAGCAAAGTGAGGGTCTCAGTGACCGTTTGGTGACGGTTTCATCTTGTTCTCTTGTGAAACTGTCAAACTATTATAATTGAGTCATTATTTCATGGTATAATGGTGATTACTTTCTATTTACTATTCTAATCACGTATTTTGTGTTAAAGTTTAAGGCTGACTCGGCTTGACTTTCTTACCATCAATAAAAAAAATTTAAAAACCAAAACCAAGAATGAAATGTGTTTTGATACTATCATATAAATACCCCCACAGCTTCCGGTAGCTGGTGGTGCTGACTGGACGCTTTGATGGGAACAGAATCAGAATCTCCTTGTGCATTTCAAAGTATGGTTCAATGGTATCAACTGAGTTTCTCCAAATCCGTTTGGTTAAACCTTTCCCTAAACTGCAAATCCAAACAGTCTAAAAACGTCCCCAAACGTCCCTCAGTGTCATTGCTAATGCTGGTGATTCTTAACAAAACGTCCTAAGTGAGACCTGACCTGAAGCCCTGATGGTCCAGCTGCTGCTTCCTCAATCTGCACTGGATTTCTGAATTTCCTGAATGCATTCCAAGATAATGCTTTAATTAACAAAATAACCTCATGAGAATTATATGTAATGCATTTGTTTATTCTGAAATTAATGTTTAATATGTAGGTAATCTGTTCAGGACTAATTCCTCTGTGCTGGATTTCTGAGCAATGAAATAAAGTAATAATTAATTCATTATATAATGCATAATTGTGTGTATCCCAATTCATAGAACCTTTTTACTACCAACAAGTATAACAGTTAATCAGTCTTGAGTTGCTGGGCCTGCTGGTACCAGTATAAACTAGCATGGTCCCATTATGTGGGTACGTTAGTTTTATCCTTCTGGCTTCAACAAGGCAGCTGCTGCTAACGCACTGATTCAAGGATTCAGACGCTAGAGATGTAAATAAAGTGACATGCTGCACACTAGAGGATGGATACCAGACACTAACAGCCTACATTGTAGAGCGCGGCATCGTACGGCCAGCAGGTGAGCTGACACGACCTGTGATCTGATAGCTCGATTGATTTGGTTGATTCCACGGCACCGTTCAGGGCGTTGACCTTGTAAACAAAAGCCCCCCCCCTTAATGAATCATAAATGATGAGCAGATCTCAGGCCTGTGTGTCTGATTGACAGAGTTCGGAACGTCCCAGAGTTCTGCACATCTTCAGCTGGAAGGGAACGACCACTTCTTCCGTGTCAGCACGAGGGACTTTACAGCTCGTCGAAGTTTGATCAGAAATGCTTCCATTTCCCATAAAGGCTCCTCTGAGCAGCTCACAGCCTGATCACGTCGCTCTCACGTTCCTCCGCCTCTCAGATTGTCCGCCGGGATCCAATCAGCAGCTCAGCGTTCAGCGAGCGCGTAGAAAACTCCTTTGAGCGCGAGCAGAGATTCTCCCCCTACATGGGGGAGGTGGCCGGTTACATGGCCACGGCCCCGGGCCTGCTGAAGGTGTGCCAGACCTCCGTGGCGTGCATCATCTTCCTCCTGGTCAGCGACCCCGTGACCTACGACCGGCACGCGGCCCTCAAGTGGTGCATGGCGGTGTACTGCATCTGCTTCATCCTCTCCATGGCCGTGGTGGTGCTGTGCGTGGGCGAGTGCACCGGCCGCCTCCCCGTCCCCTTCTCATGCACCTGACAGTCATGTACTTGACGACGACCACCCTCTTAAGACACTAGGGCGCCCTGGAGTACAGTACATAAATTGCTATAGTTGAATTAGTTCTGCAGGATATTAGAAACAAATTGACGATCCGGTTCATAAAATTAATAAAAATGCATATAGTTTACACCAGAATACAGCCATGATTCTGAAACTGTGTAATCAGTAAAGTAATGACAATATTGTAAAACCACTGTAATTCTGCAACTGTAATAGAATAATATCAATGTAGTTATGATTGTATTTGATGTAATGTAATCAACTGGAATGCATGCATGTAATACTTGCACAACAACTGATATTGACTAAGGATCATTCGAAATCCGAGTTAATGAACTCACCAGAAGACTCCCAGAGGTGTGGACACTAACTTTCACACCTTTAAGCATTGTTATAAATACCTGT